GATTACGTCAAGAATTGCAAAGCTGAATACTTTGAAATCTTGCAGACGTTTTGAGGTTATTATAACTTTTTAATCAAAATGTACAAGTTTTCAATTTTTCGATTATTAAATTTCTCGATTTTTCCAATTTTTTATTTCTCGATTATTTCATTTTTCAATTTCTCTATTTTCTGATATTTCAGTTTTACGATTTTTCAATTGTTCAATTTCTCGATTTTTAAATTTTCCGATTGTTTAATGTTCCAGGGTTTGGTGTTTCAAAATTTTCTAATTTTCTATCAATCGATTTTTCTACTTTCCGATTTCTCGATCTTTTAATTTTTTTTTTAGATGTCCCAGTTTTGAAATTTTTCACTCTTCTATTCCTCAATTTTTTCGATATTCGAGGTTTAGGATTTTTTAATTTTTGAATCTTCAATTTTTCGATTCAGTTTTTAGTTTTCCTAAATTTTCGATTTTTCGATCAACTGATTTTTCGATTTTGCTATTTTTCGACTTTTCCATTTTTGACTTTTCCGACTTCTAGACTTTTTGATTTTTCGATTTTTCGACCTTTTGACTATTGGATTTTTCGATTTTTAGATATTTTAATTTTCCCATTTCTCCATTGACCAATTTTTCGATCATTCAGCGTCTCGGCTTTTCAATTTCGCGATTTCTCGATTTTTCCATTTTCATAGTTATTTCTTAAATTCTTCCTCGACTTTTCGATTTCTCGATGTTGCAGTTTTTCGGTATCTCAGTGTTTCTTTTTCAATTTTGGGATTTTTCAATTTTTCGATTTATCAATTGATCAATGTTTGGAAATCGAATTTTTCGGATTTTTTTTGTTACGTTAGTTGCTTCGATTTCTCGATTTTTCATTTTTCGGTTTTTGATGTTTAAATTTTTTCGTTCCTTAAATTTTTCAATTTTTCATTTTTATCATTTTTCGATTTTTCGAATTATCTAGATTTCGATGTTTCGTTTTTTCGATTTCTAGATTTTTCAATTTTCATACTTTCGTTTCTTCCTCGACTTTCGATTTCTCGATTTTGCAGTTTTCGGTACCTCTGTTTATTTTTCAATTTTTCGATTTATCAATTGATCAATTTTTCGAGATCGAATTTTTCGGATTTGTTTTTGTTACGTTAGTTTCTTCGATTTCGCGATTTTTCATTTTTCGGTTTTTGATGTTTAAATTTTTTGGTTTCTTAAATTTTTCAATTTTTCAGTTTTATCATTTTTCGATTTATCGAATAATTCAGATTTCCATGTTTCGTTTTTTCGATTTCTCGATTTTTCAATTTGTCGACTCGAAAACTAAAAAAGTATTAAAATTGAAAATTCGAACATCGAAAAATCGAAAAGCAAAGAAATTGGAAAGTCTGAGAACCGAAGAATGGAAACATTGAAAAATCGAGAATGTGGAAATTCGAAAGTTTGAAAAATCGAAAGAAAAATTGAAAAACTGAAAGTCGAAAAATCCAAAAAGGAAATATGTAATTTGAAAATTAAATATTGAAAAATCGAAAATTAAACGAATCAGGTCAGGTCAAGTTTCGATATCTGTTTTTGTTTTTCAATTTTGGGATTTTTCAATTTTTCGATTTATCAATTGATCAATTTTTTGAGATCGAATTTTTCGAATTTGTTTTTTGTTATGTTTCTTCGATTTCTCGATTTTTCATTTTTCGGTTTTTGATGTTTCAATTTTTTGGTTTCTTAAATTTTTCAATTTTTCAGTTTTATCATTTTTCGACTTTTCGAATTAGCCAGATTTCGATGTTTCGTTTTTTAGATTTCTCGATTTTCCATTTTTTCGACTTGAAAACTAAAAAACTATAAAAACTGAAAATCCGAACTTCGAAAAATCGAAAACCAAAGAAATTGGTTAAGTCTAAGAACTGAAGAATGGCAAAATTGAAAAATCAAGAATGTGAAAGTTCGAAAGTTTGAAAAATCGAAAAACTGAAAAAAAAGGAAATATGCAATTTCAAAAGTCGAATATTGAAAAATCGAAAATTCAATGAATCAGCTCAGGTTAGGTTTTGATATGTTTTTCTTTTTCAATTTTGGGATTTTTCAATTTCTCGATTTATCAATTGATCAATTTTTCGAGATCGAATTTGTCGGATTTTTTTTTATGTTAGTTTCTTCGATTTTTCGATTTTTCATTTTTCGGTTTTTGAGATTTCAATTTTTTGGTTTCTTAAATTTTTCAATTTTTCAGTTTTATCATTTTTCGATTTTTCGAATTATCCAGATTTTGATGTTTCGTTCTTTAGATTTCTCGATTTTTCAATTTTTCGACTTGAAAACTAAAAAAGTATAAAAACTGAAAATCCGAAAAGCAAGGAAATTGGAAATTCTAAGAACTGAAGAATGGAAAAATTGAAAAATCGAGAATGTGAAAATTCGGAAGTTTGAAAAATCCAAAAATTTAAAAACTGAAAGTCGGAAAACCGAAAAGGAAATATGTAGGTAATTTGAAAATTCGAACATTGAAAAATCGAAAATTCAACGAATCAGGTCAGATCAGGTCGAAATTAAAAAAAATCAAATATTGAAAGACGGAAAATTTGATACATGGGAAAATCGAAAACTCGAAATTTTCGAAAATTGAAAATTTGCAATATCGAAAACACAAAAAGTTGAAAAATCGAATAAACGCGAAATCGAGAAATTGAAACGTCGAGAAATCGAAAAGGTGAAAATTCGAGGAATCGATAAACCGACAAATCTAAAATTAAAATATTAAAAAAGTGAGAAATACAGAAACGAAAAAAATCCCAAAATAGAAGTGCCGTAAAGTTGAGAAATAGAAGACTTGAAAAATCGAAAAATAGAAATTTAAAAATATTAACAAATCGTAAAATGGAACAATTGAAAAATTGATAAATGGGAAATTTAAAAGAATGAAAATCTGAAAACGAAAAACTAGAAATCGAGCAGTCCAATGATCTGAAATTAAAAAAAAAACGAGTTGAATAATCGAACAATTGAAGAATCAAAGAATCGAAAAATTGAAATATCGAAACAGTGGAAAATAGAAAAATCGAAAAGGCGAAAAATCGAAAAATCGGGAAAATTCGAAACAATGAAAAATTGAAAATTAAACCATCGAGAAATCGACACATGAAAAGATCCAGAAAAAGCCGAATTCGACATAAGTTTTCAATTTTCGATACTTGAATTTTCAATGTTTTTGCTTTTCGATTTTTCGGAGTTTTTTATTTACGTGCCTGGTTTTTACTTTATAGGGGTAAAAAACAAAAATCTCAAAATCAAATTCCACACTTTTTCAACGGAAGGGGATTTATTGGGTTTTACTTCAAGGACGAGGGAAGTTCTGTCGAAATAACCTTCGACCAAATTTTTTTTAGATTGTAAAACGCTAACTAAAATTTATTTTAAAGCATCCAAATATTCTCTAAATTTGTTTTATTGTACTTCAGAGGCGAGGGATGTTTTGCCTAGATAACCCTCAAACATTTTTTTTTATATTTACTGTAAGTATCATATTACACAAGATAACAACTAGTACTTCTTAAGGTAATACTGATTTTGGTGAATAATGACATACCTTCTAAGAAAACAGAGGGCGGGTGGGCGGGGCTAGTACTTACTAAAACAAGACTGATTTTGGCAAATGATATATCCTTCTATTTTCTTAGAGGGTATATCATCTGCCAAAATCAGTCTTACTTTAACTAATAAGAATACTAGCCCCGCCCACCCGCCTTTTATTTTCTTAGAGCGTATGTCATCCGCCAAAATTAGTTTGATTGAATTATTTTTTGTTTCAAAAAGTCAAAAATTAATAACAATCATTTAAATATATTTTGTGCAACCCGATATTTTAAAATTTTTGGTTTTTAACAGCTTAAGAAAAGTAACAGGGAGTTGAAAAAGAACTCCTTGCAGTTGTATTTCATAATAAATATCATAATCACCAAAGTAACACTAATATACGAGTATCCGTTTTTTTTTACATGATTTGTTTTTTATTTTTTTCTGACGGATACATCTATATATTTACTTTTTTTAATATTTTTTTTTTTACAAACATAGAATAGAACTTCTTTAATGTACCCTAAAATTTACGAGACGTCTAGAAAATATTAAATTAGATGTAAATCAGGAGAAATATTGACTAAGAATCTACAATTATTAGTTCCAAATTTTTTTGGATAAAAAATTTTATGTAACGATTTCAATGTAAAATTCGACGAAGTGCTTGCCCATAACTGTCTTTATAGTGAAAAAACTAGCTTGTTTGAAGTAGAATTTAAAACTTATAAGTTATTTTTTTGGGAAAATTTTGAAAGTTTTATTACGGTTTTTTTATAATTCATACATTTAATACAATAACATTTATATATTTTCTTCTGAAGAGAAAATTTGATTTATTTACTTTAATTTAAATTGTTTTACGAAAAATGACAAGTTCCAAAAATATTCATGAAAAAGTAAACAAAAATTACAATTTTTGTAAAACACAGTTGCTATAAATCTCAAAAGTTTATGTTACATTCCATCATTTAAATCACTTATCCTTTCATCGTCAACCGTTACGTTAACCTCGTTTTACCATAAAATGATTACGCATAAACTTGAGCGAAATTAAATGAAATCATTTTAGCAGAGAATTATTAATTAAAAAGCGCCAACCCAGTCAAACTTAATTTATTGAAGTTCATGCCAAAATCAATGTCTGCCAACGTCGAAAATACCGATTCGACACCACCCTGCCATCTAGTCGCAGAAGCTCAATCTGTAAGCTTGCCGCTATACTGAAGAGATGGCGCAGGAGTGACTACAGCAAATTTCCTGCAACTGTGAACTTTTAAAATTCTTGCAGGAATTTCCTATATTACTCATGATCAGTTATTTCGGATATTTGTGGATGAATGAGTCACAAATTCACAATTAATTAAAATTATTATCGATGATAATAATAATAGCCGTGTACATCCGGCAGGAAAAAGTAGTTTCGATAAATAGAAAGTTCTTGCCCCGGCAGGAAATTAAAGCAGTCGCCTCTAAACTACGCTCCGCTTGCTTACCTTGGAGAGGTAAAAGTTAAATGTTAAAGACATGAATAAGAAGTGCAATGTAACTTAACTGTGTTTGTGGCTGTTGTTCGTGTAAATATTGTAAATAGATTTGTTATTTTTCAAAATGATTGCACTGACGGGTAAGTACACCTCATTAAGTCAAAATAAATAGTCTTGTAGATGGAACAGAGCGAAGAAAGTTTCACAATACACACGTTATTTTTAGAGAGAAGTTAAAAATGGCAAGGATAATATTATCGTTCGTGCTGTGTCTAGCACTATGGGAAGTCGCAAGTGCTGGTTACATTCCTCCAGGACCTCTCTACAGGTGCCCTGAGGAATATTTACTTTTACATCCTTGTACGTGCGACATCGAATCCGACCAAGGAATTTACGTGAGCTGCAATAACACTAACTTAGCCAGCATGAGTGTAGCCCTTAATAATTTAGCCGCCTTTAAGCTGCCCATTGAGAGACTTACAATCTACAAAAGTCACATTGGTAATTTTTTATTTATTTGGACTACCTTAAAGCGACGAACCCGAATCGAACCCACAAAAAGCTAGAGTTTGACACACTTCTAGACACGCACATTCATTATTGTTATTATTAATTAATAATATATTTTTATTATATCTATACATAACGTGTGTTGAATTGAGAAAGTCATCAAGTTGATGTGGAAAAACTCCTGAGTTTTCTGAATCCATACTGTTGTGTATAATTAACATTTCTGCGTTGTCAGCTGTCATCGATTAAATTTTCGGTTTATTGTAGAGATACAGCACAATGTTTTCAAAAAATCAAGGTCAACTTGATGACACTATTTTTACTGGAATTACCCTAATTTATTGATATCATTCCTTCAAATTTAATTTTTGTTTTTAAACAGCGTTTATGTTTTTTTTTTAAATATACAAGGAGACCAACAAATCTTCGACGCCATCTAATAGAATTTGCTAAGAGAGCTACAATTTACAGTTATTTTCATATACACAGGGTGTTCCTTTTGAAGGTTACATATCAAAGTTGTAATTAAATTTTGTAGATTTAGATTCTATGAAAATAGGAAAAAATTGGTTGAAGGTTACTTCGGCAGAACTTCCCTCGCCCATAAAATACAGCTTATCAAATGCAGCTCTTTCGAAAAATTAAAAGATTTGATTTTGCGAATTTTATTGGTTTTTATGGTAACTATTATAAGCTAAAATAAAAATATGTATCTATCGTCTGCTGCATGTAATAACAGAATGCGACTGAAGACTGAACTGAAAATCATTTATGGTACTGGTAACTTAAGACAAATAGCGATAACACTTATCAACTTGTAGACGTGAGAGTAAAACAGAAACCAAACTAAAAGATGTGTTGCGCGTAGGGGTTGGCAATTCAAACAGATTGGGCAGTATACCAAATTTATTAGAAGAAAATGTCGCTGTACGGGTGTTGGTTACAATTATCCCTTGTCTGCTACAACTACAACTACTTCTTCAACTACAAATACAAATACAACTAATACAACTAACTTCTTCAGGTGCGAGCCAAAAGTTATATATTGACAACTATAGTCATGTGACCGACCATAGTTGCGGAGTAATGACATGACCTCCTTAATTTTGATTGAGTCGATACTTAGCAATCGCGGAAAAGGAAATGCAACTCAGCTTGACTTCGGACTCGCTTCCTTCTAACAACGCTTGCACATGCTGCCGCAGCAACCCCAATTAAACAGGATATTTCACAACAGATGTTTTCTACGAATTGCAATAATCGGATCACAATGCCGACGGTCCAGACTTTTTTATTGCACTGACTTTCACTTATTGAATAAAACACTACATTTTATTTTGATTTTCGATGTTGTAATTCACATTTGGTTAATTATAACTTGTCTAGATCTAAGGGAGGCTCAGCATCCCCTAGCCTCCCCCTAGCTATGGCCTTATCTAGGGGTTATGAGATATCGAGAAAATATGAAACTACCAAATTGCCCAACGGACTCCATTACTGTACGTCGTTAGGTAATTCTCGATAACAAAAACAACTTGAAAGTGTTTATGTTTTTACATCGGAAGAATGTCACGTAGAAATTAGTATGATTTGAATGAGTTCGTCCCGTCAAAACAAACTGAATATCATTCTTATTAAATAAAGACGTTTGTATTTTCACATTTTAGGGAAAATTGGGTGACTCGTTCTTATTTTAATCAAAATATGAATGCAATGATGAATCACAGTTTTGCAATTTTTGATTTATTCAATGAAATAAATCGACTGATCTATTTTTTTTGAGTCACCCTGTATTAACAAATCTAAAAAATATTAATGCAGTGATAAATTACAAGTATAGATTCATTCTACTTTGCACATATATGATACTATGTGTTCAGCAAAATTTTGAGGAGACATTATCAATTTTTTAGGGGGATGAGCAAATACATTTTGATAAAAAATTTCGCATGCTTATAATAACTTTAAAACATCTCCAAGATTTTAAAGCATTCGATTTTGTAGTTCCTGATTAAATCAATAAAATAAATTCACCCATTCATTAATTTTTTTGAGTCATCCTGTATAAGCAAATCCCAAAATATTAACGGAATGATACAGACTCATCATATTTTCTACATTTTAGATAGGATTTATGCGACAAAATTTTGGGCTGACGTCATCAACTACATATTTGGAGGTGATAAGTAAATATATTTTGATTAAAAATTTATCATAACGTTAAAACATCTGTAAGATTTCAATTCGTTTCGTAGATTCAAAATTAAATTGCAAAATGTTGTTTTATAATTTTGATTTTTTTTCCAAAAATCTGGGCGTTTCGGGTAAAAACTCAACATAAACTACATGTGTAGGACAGACAGACAGACACAGGGACAGACAGATGGACAGACAGAAGGAAGAGACAGACGGACAGATAGACGGACGGACAGACGGACAAACAGACGTACAGACTGACGGAAACGGGAAACCTATTTCTTCGTCCTCTAGGGGTGATGAAAGGTTGAAGAAACGTAAAAGTAGAGACTCGGCCGACAGACTCGATTACAATACTTCCTTCGCTTACGCTTGGGAAGTAAAAATAATATCAACCACAACGGCTCCTTGATGAAAAATAATTGGCAAAATAATTGAAATTTTATTAAAAAACTCCATATTTAAAAATTTACAGCTTCACTTTTTTTAAAGATGGACATTTGAAATTTTGCACAATCTATTGACTTTGTTTCCTTTGTTCCTTTTGTTCAATTTTCTCTGTTCTGTTTCTTCTACTTCCTCTGTTCTTTTTGTTCCTTCTGTTTCTTTTGTTCCTTCTGTTTCTTCTGTCCCTTCTGCTCCTTCTGTTCCTTATGTTCCTTCTGTTATTTCTGTTCCTTCTGTTTCTTCTATTGCTTCTGTTCCTTTTGTTCCTTTTGTTCCTTCTGTTCCTTCTGTTCCTTCTGTTCCTTCTGTTCCTTCTGTTCCTTCTGTTCCTTCTGTTCCTTCTGTTCCTTCTGTTCCTTCTGTTGCTTCTGTTCATTCTACACTATATTGCTTTTGTTGCCTCTGACCCTTAGATTTCTATGTTCTCTGTGTTCTGTTCTTTTTGTTCTGTTCATCTTGTTTCTTCTGTTCCTTCTGTTAATTCTGTTTATTTAACCTTTTCTGTTCCCGCCATCCTTTTGTTCCCTATGTTCCTTGTTAGTTCTGTCCTCTTTGCTTCCTTTGTTTTGCCTGCTCTATTCATTTTACTCCTTGGGTTCTTTTGGTTGCTTCGGTTGCTTTTGTTTTCTATTTCACCTCTGTTCTCCTGTTCTGTTTATTCTGTTGCTACAATTCTCATTGTTGAAATATTTTTAGATTTTTAATTTAATAAAAACCGATAGGGTAAACCCCCAAAAAATTGTCATTTTTGAAAATTGCCAAGTGATTTTTTAAATTTCTGCTCTAGTTCTGACGTAAGCAGAAATTGAAAAAAATCATCCAGTACATTTGTCAAGGTAATTTTTAAATATGACTATTTTCTTAATATCAATATGTTGAAAATTGTTGAATAATTGAACTTTTTTTGTCATTTTTAACAAATAATGCAAATTTTAAAAATATATTTTTCATTACATTAAAAATAATGTAGTTGCAAGTACAATTTAAATTCTGACCCTAAATTAGTTATATCGGATTTTTCAATTTCAGTAATTCGTGGAGAATGCATAATCTTTCATCACCGTTGGAACATCCTGTATATGTACTTGGAAATAAAAAAGGTATAAATAAGTATACATGAAGTATACACTTAGTAAATATCCATAAAAAGAAAAAAAAAAAAACTGAAAATGAAGCGACGAAACAAAAATCGATATAACCAAATTATAAACTTTATAATGGTGTCAGTAAGTATATACTAGGTCATAATTTTGGTAACAAGTAGTTGTAATATTCTTCCATAGAAGGGTATTATCAAATTAATTTTTGCAATTTTACATAAGAATAGACTTTTTTATTTTCCGTGGCTATTTCAACATTTCATGACGTCCAAAGTATGAAAAAATAAGTCTCCCATTTCCGTCTGTGTATTGTCGGTTCTTTGTCTATCAAATTTTATATGTACATATCTATTTTAGAAATATCATGTAAATGATAAAATGCTAACAAAAATTTGTCTAATCATCTTTATCAACAATTTGATGACATCACGTCAAAGCAAATGCTGTTTAAATTTTACAAAATAACATACTTTTATATTTGTAGTTTATGAATCCGCCTTGATTTTTTATTCTATACGTCCAAATTTTCACAAAAAAATCGAATTGAAATATAACATTTTATAACACTTTGAGAGCAATCATCTGTTGAAGCGTCCTGTTAATAAGGGAAAAGTAGCTGGTTCGATCCCCTCATGAACCACTGTTATTTCTTATGTTGTGTCCGATATTATCTATAATGTTTTAATTTATAGTATTTCTCACGAAAATAAATAAAATATTGCAAAAACTGGATTTGTTAGCTTGTACTACAGGGACGAGGGAAGTTCTGTCAAAATAATCCTAGGTCAATTTTTTTTAATATAAGTTTTAATGGCAAGTCAGCTCGAATGGCAAGATAAATTCTGAAGAAAAAAGATATGTTAGTAAAGTTAGATGGGACTCATGGTATTCGATATAATTAAAGATAAGTTCCTCTCAAGGTCAACCGAAGGTCCACAAATGCTTTCCAACTCAGTCAGACTTCACATCAGGAAGTGTTCCTTTCCGAAAAGTTTTTGAGCAATATTAAAATCAATGTTATACGTATTTTCTTGGGTAAAAATGCACTTTTCCATAAAATAAAACAAATTTCAACATATAACGGGTGTTCAAAAAGTTTTCAGATTAGAGTTGACCATGGAAATATTTGTCCTGTCTTTGATCAAACTGTAAATGTCATGCATAACCTCATTTGTAATTCAAAATTTTGATTTTTTGACATGTACAGTTTAATCAAAAACATGCGAAATATTTATATGGCCAACTCTAATCTGAAAACCTTTTGATCACCCGATTTGAGGTTACCTATACCCATTTGTCACTATTGTCAGCTGATTTTAGGTTCGTTATTTGTTCGTTTACGTTATTTTGTGTACATAAACGCTATGTGTTTTCTGACAATTTTTATAGGTTAGAAAATATTAGATTCAAGGCTAAATGTCATAACCAACCCTAATAAAATCACAAGTAATTGCACAACGATGAAAACCCCAAAACTTGAGCATTGCTCATAGCGTTCATTCTTAAGCAATCACAAGAAAACCATAAGGAACTACTTAGCATAAGAAAGTTCCTAAGAGAAATCTCATAATGTGAACTGACCTTAATCATCTGAGCCATTAAGCGCTTACACATAAAATTTGACAAAACCGGTATACTAGATTCGAAAATTATCTGCCTAGCAAATATTTACACCGACGACAGATACGCAGACAGAAAGGGAGATCTATTTTTTTCATACTTTAGGGGTCCTGAAACGTCGAGAAAACATGAAAATAACAATTCGCCGGATAAACCTTATTGTAACACTTACTTTTTTTTTTTTTCTTACTTTACGCTTGAGAAGTAAAAATGTCCATCCATAAGTAAAATTTAAAATTGCTATAAATTACTATTAATTTTCTGAACCTATATACACATATGTAATTATTGTATAAAGAATTATAGATTTTTAAGATTGGCTTCTGTGTAAATTTAGCAACGACTTTTAAATAAGCACCAAATTTAAATTTTAACAATTCCCGCCATCAAAAATGACCAACGATGATTGGATGCAATTTAAAATGTGCCGCGATTCTGTGACGTCAGTCTCATATTAGACCTATCAGAATTATGTATCGTCCTACCTCATGTGACGTAAGACATCCGGAACTTATCTAATAATGAAGAAATAGATAAAACAATTCGGTTAAATATTTTGTTCTTTCATTTTGTTGTTTTTTTCTCGTAAATTTACAGAATTTGGACCAAACTTGAGCTTTTTGTGACTTTTAGTTTTAGCTAGAATACCAATGATATATAGACTTAAAAAAATGCATATATTTGCAGCAAGACTTTTCGGCAGCCTCCTCTACAAGCTAAATTTACGAACATTACTAATTCAAGACACGCCAATTGAGATTATCGAAGAGCACACTTTTCTGGGTGTGAATGAGACTTTGAATGAGCTCCATCTGATTAACTCCAGCCTGCAGGAATTCCCCACCCTGGCCTTTAAGGTTTGAGCTTCAATTACTCTGACAATAGCCAACACCTCGAATTTTTTTAACAGATTTTAGGTAATCTCACCGTCCTGAAAATTGATGGCCATAATATGACCAGCCTTCCGAAAGACGCTTTCGCCGAAAGCTCCGTAAGCGGCCGACTTCTGCGGCTATTTTTATCAAATGGATATTTAACAACTCCGCCTATAGAAAGTTTGCAACCGTTGAGGAAGCTGAAAATGCTGGATTTGCACGGGAATCGCATCCCTGAGTTGAAAAGGAACCAGTTCAAGGGGTTGAGGGACGTGGAAATTCTAGATTTGAGCTATAATGGTATTAGAAAGGTGGATTCGAGCCATCTCGCGGATTTGACGAAATTGTCGTTTTTCAACGTGTCACATAATAATATCACGGAGTTGACGAGGTAGGAATGAGGATTTGAGGATGATGAATGGGGATGTGGAAATTTTTTAGTGGGATGTTCGTTTCTTGCGCGTATCTGCACATTTGCGGAGTTTCTCACTAAAGTTAAATAACGATGGTCATATATCTAAGTTTGTGCCGGGCGTGACATGGCGCCATGCTTTGACAAAACAGAAAATATATTTTCGGAGATAAATGTCGGAAAAACTACGGCTTGTCAAGGGTGCAGGTGCAGTTTATCGCGGTTTTACTGACAATGTAATACCTACGTCGCATCACCTTTTTTGAGTAAATTTATTACTTGTCGAGCGTAAGCTAAGAAAGTATTGTAAACGGGGTCATCGGCCGACTCCTTCCTCTTATGTTTTCTCGATCTTTCGTGACTTCTGTCTGTCTGTCTGTCTGTCTGTCTGTCTGTCGTCTGTCCGGATTTTTAATAGACAGATAAATTTTGAAACTACTAGACCGATTGTTGTCAAATTTCTATGTATATTAGTGCATGTAAAGATGATAAAACTCCAACTAAAAATTATCTACTCATCCCCTCCAAGAGTTTTATGACGTCTGACGTCATCTCCAAAATTTACGGTTGTAAATTGTTTTTATTTTTATAAAATAAGATACTCCTGCATTACTAAATTGTATAACAAGATTTTGTAATTAGCTAATCTTGCGAACATTTTAAGGTTATCGTAATCATGGTCAATTGTTATTCAAAATTTATTAATTTATCCCCTGCCAAAAAATTGATTAAATAATCTCAAAATTTTGCCGAATAAATCCTCTCTGAAATATGAAAAATATTATAATTTTACAATTGTCGTTTATCAATGCACTCCATTTTCCCGAAAATTTCGGAATGTAATACTGCCATTATTAATATTACATTGTTTTTCGAAAAATCTTAATTTATTTACCTTCGACTAATTTTTTGATATAATAATTTTTCGTTTTTATTTTTTCTTCGATTTGCAATTTTTGGATTTTAGAATTTTCCATTTTTCGATTTTTCACTTTTTTAATTCCTCAGTTTTTCAAGTTCATCATTTTCCCGATTTTTTTTATTTCATTTTCTCGATTTTGTATCATAATTTTTTGTTTCTTCATTTCCTTTATTTTTTCAATGTTTCTTTCGATTATATTATACAATTTTTCGTTTATTTCATTCTTCAAATTTTCGGTCCTTGATTTTTTAATTCCTCGATTTTCCAATTTTAAAATTTTTCAATTTTGCAAATTTTGAATTTTTCAGTTACCTAATTTTCCGATATCTTTAATTTTAAATATTTAGATTTTACAATATTTCGTTTTTTCTATTGTTCAGTTTTGGGATTTTTTAATTTTTCGATTCTTCAACTTTTCTTCGAGTTCTCAATCTTTCGATGTTTCGATTTTTCGATGTCTCGGTTTTTCGATTTTTTGACTTATTGCCTTTTCAATTTTTCGTTTTTTCGCTTTCTCAATTTTTTGACATTGCACTTTTGGAATTTTCCAATTTCGCGATTTTTAAAATTTCACATTTTTCGATATTACGATTTTTTGATGTTTCGATTTCCCGACTTTTAAATTCTTTCATATTCCTTTTTTTTATTTTTCGAATTGTCGATATGTCGACATCTGGGTTTTTCGATTTCTTGATTTTTCAATTGTTCTATGTATTTCTCAAGTTTTCAACATTTTAATTTTGGCAAATTTTAATTTTTCGACATTTTAATTTTACCATTTTTTACATTATGTTTATATTTCTACTTTCCAATTTTTGAAATTTTTAAATTTTTGATTTTTCAGTTTTTGGAAAAGGGCAAAGATTTTTCAAACTTTCCATTTTACACTTTTTGCAAATTAAAAAAACGGACAAAACTGAAAATTCGAAAACCGAAAAATGATGAATTGTAAAATCGTAAAAGGGGAAAATCGAAAAATTGCAAATCGAAGGACTGAAGAAACGAAAAATCAAATCTAAAAGCTAAAAATCGAAAATTTTGAAAAAGCAAAAAATGTAAAATCCAAAAATTATAGAATCGTCAAAAATGAAATATCGAGAAATTGAAAAATTAAAAATAAAAAAAAAATGAGAAATCGAATAAATGCAAAAGGTTTAAAATCCAATAATTTACAAATTGAAATTTCTAAAATCGTAAAATTGAAAAAATTAAACATTTTAAAAATAATTAAACGAAATAAAATAAAAAACGAAAAATAAAAAATCTAAAAGTTGAAAAATCGAACAATTGAATACTGAAAAATTGCAAATCGAAAATTGACTCTAAAATTGCAAACCCCAAAAATTAAAGAACTTCAGAGTGAAAAAAAAAATTAGAAAAGAAACATTGTAAATCGAAAAATTGAAGAAATGAAAAATTGAAAAATCGAAAAATAATTGAAAAATTTGAAATTGTAACATCCAAAAAAACTCGAATATCCATATCGTATAATTGACAAAAACAAAAACAAAAAATGAAAAATTGAGATTGAAAAAACAAAAAATAAAAAATACGAACATTGAAAAACTAAAAATTGAGCAACTTGAAATTAGAAAATTTTGATGAAATGGTTAAGGGAAAACACAAAAACAGTGAAATCGAAAAATTATATAATCGTCAAAATTGTAAAGTTGAAAAACTATAACACTGATAATCTATCAGTGAAAAAGTTATAAGATCTAAATTGAAAAATGGAAAAATTTTAAAATGGAAAAATTGAAAAAGTGAAACACTTTAAAAATTATAATAATTATTAGATGCATATTTAAAACGAAAAGTGAAGAAACGAAAAATTGAGGAATAAAGAAACTGAAAAATCTAAAATTCACAAAACGAAAAATTAAAAATCTAAATATTGAAAAAGAGAAAAATTGAAAATCCAAATATTGAAAAAAAGTCACAATTGAATAGACACAACATTGAAAAATCGAAAAATTGTGAAAATGAACAAATTAAAAAATGGAAAAATTTTAAAATCGAAAAATTGAAGAAGTGAAACATTTTAAAAATAATTATTACACACATATTTAACATGAAATCTAAAAAAATTGCAAATAAAAAATTGAAGAAACGAAAGCGAAAAATTGAAAAATCTAAAAGTTGAAATATTGAAAAATTGTATAACAAAAAATTGCAAATCCAAAAATTGAAAAATCCAAAAATTAAAAAAATGCACTTTGAAAAAAAAAACATTGAAAAACCGATAAATTGTAAAAATAAAGAAAAAAGACCAAAATGAAAAACTGTAAATCGAAAATTGAACAAATGAAAATTGACAAAAAAAATTGAAAAAGTGAAGTACTTTCACAATTATAACAAAAATTAAAACATCCAAAATTTGTAGAATCGGGAAACTGAAAATTTTAAAAATGAAAACTCGAAAAGATGTATTTCGCAAATTTGAATAAACAAAAAAAAAATAAAAATTGAAAAATAGCAAAAAATAATGAAATGGAAAACACAAAAAAAATATAAAATTGAAACATCGAAAAATCGAGTAATTGAAAAATTAAAGAAAATCAAAAACTGAAACGAAAATATTGAAAAATTGAGAAAATTCCAGAAACTCAAATCAAAAAATTGTAAATTCTGAAAATTCCAAATCAAAAAACTGAAGAAACAAAAAAAATTGAAGAATTGGGAAATTGTGAAAATGAACAAATTAAAAAATCGAAATGGAAAATTGCAAATCAAAAATTAGAAGAAATGAAAAATTAAGGGATCTAAAAAATGCAAAATCTAAAAATTGAAGAAACAAGAAAAACGAAAATCGAAAAATCGCAGATCGAAAAACTGAAGAAACGAAAAATTGAAAAAACTAAAATTGAAAAAACAAAACATTATAGAATCGAAATCCTGAAAAAACGAACTGAAAAATTAAAAAAAAAACTGAAACGAAAAAATTGAAAAATTGAAGAGTCGAGAAACTCAAATCGAAAAATTGTAAAATCTAGAAAGTTGAAAAATTCAAAAACTCAAAAATTTACACTTGAAAACTCGGAAAATTGGAAATCGAAAACTGAATGAACCAAAAAAAAAAAAAGAAAAATTGAAGAACTGAGAAATTGTGAAAATGAACGAATTAAAAAACCCAAACGAAAAACTACAAATCGAAAATTTGAAGAAATTAAAAGTTAAAGAATCTAAAAATTGCAAAATCTAAAAATTGAAGAAACAAGAAAAACGAAAAATCAAAAAATCGCAGATCCAACAACTGAAGAAACGAAAAATTGAAAAAACTAAAATTGAAAAAACAAAACATTATAGAATCGAAACACTGAAATAATTGAAAAATTAAAAGAAAAATAAAAAACTGAAACGTAAAAATCGAAAAATTGCAAAATTTAAAAATTTGGAAAATTTGAAAACTTGAAAAATTTGAATTTGAAAACTAAAAATTGCAAAGCGAAAACTGAAGAAACCAAAATTCAAGAATTAGGAAATTGTAAAAATCAACAAATTAAAAAACCCAAACGTAATACTGCAAATCGAAAATTTGAATAAATGAAGAATTAAAGAATCTAAAAATTGATGAAACAGGAAAAGCGAAAAACCGAAAAATTGTACATCGAAAAACTGAAGAAACGAATAATTGAAAAATTAAAGAAAATATAAACTGGAACAAAAAAATTGAAAAATTCGAGAAACTCAAATTGAAAAATTGCAAAATCTAAAAAGTCGGAAAATTGAAAAACTCAAAAACATATAGTTGAAAACCCGAAACAATGCAAATCGAAAATTGAAGGAACCAAAAAAAAAGAAAAATTGAAGAATTGAGAAATTGTGAAATTGAACTAATTAAAAAACTGAAACGTAAAAGTGTAAATCGAAAATTTGAATAAATGAAGAATTAAAGAATCTAAAAATTGAAAAAACAAGAAAAGCGAAAAATCGCAGATCGAAAAACTGAAGAAACCAAAAATTGAAAAAACTGCAATTGAAAAAACAAAACAATATAGAATTGAAACATTGATAAAGCGAATAATTGAAAAATTGAAGAAAATAAAAAACTGAAACAAAAAACTTGAAAAATTGAATATTTGAGAAACTCAATCGAAAAATTGCAAAATCTAAAAAGTGAAAAATTGAAAAACTCAAAAATTTACCCTTGAAATCTCGAAAAATTGCAAATAGAAAAAATGGAGAAACCAAAAAAAAAAGAAAAATTGAAGAATTGAAAAATTGCGAAAATGTACGAATTAAAAAACCGAAAGAAAAAACTGCAAATCAAAAATTTGAAGAAATGAAAAGTTAAAGAATCTAAAAGTTGCAAAATCTAAAAATTGAAGAAACAAGAAAAACGGAAAGTCGTAAAACTGCATATCGAAAAATTGAAAAAACTAAAATTGAAAAAACAAAACATTATGGAATTGAAACATTGAAAAAGCGAATCATTGAAAAATTGAAGATTCGAGAAATTCAAGCCGAAAAATTTCAAAATCTAAAAAGTTGGAGAATCGAGAAACTCAAAAACTTACCCTTGAAATTGCAAAAAATTGGAGAAACAAAAAAATCAAAAAGTGAAAAATTCAACCCAAAAACTGCGGTAGTGTTATTTTGGGAGCAAGGAAAGTTTTGTCAAAATAACCTTCAATCAATTTTTTTTAGTAACCACTAAATAAATAATTAAAATTAAAGTACTTGTTTTTTTCTCATTTCGTAGTCGTAAACTATTTTCGTTTTAATTTAAACATTTCACTTCCTAAACGATAATTACTTGCGTCGAATTCTCCAGCCCGCCCCAGGAAGTGAATCGTAACAGTTCCGAATACTTGTTTGTTTAGCAATTTTCCGTCTGACCTTTAGTCAGCAGAATCCGAACTAAATTAACTTTATTCTGCATACTTGTTTTATCTATCTAAACAACCCAAATCCAATTTCAGGGGTGCCTTCGCCCGCAACACAATCCTGAAGGTCCTCAATATGTCCTTCAACAAAATCAAACGTTTGGATTCGAACACATTCCGAGGAATGCGTTTCCTGCGTCGACTTTACCTCTCAGACAATGCAATCACAGACATCGGCAGAGGCACTTTCGGCTCGCTTGCTCAAGTGGGAACCATCGACTTGGCCCGAAACTTCCTCAAGAAAATCGACTATCAAATGTTCTTCGAATTGAAATTCATAGACGTAAGCAGGAATCTTTTCCTCCCCTTCATTCGTTAAAACCCCCATTGCAGACAATAGATGTCTCCGAAAACAACGTGACCGAAATCCAGAAGCTCGCCTTCAAGGATATTTACTTGACGAACATCAACTTATCGAAAAACAATATTAGTAAGATCGAGAGTGGCGCTTTCAAGAACTGCGCCAACATCACTAGGCTGGATTTGTCCTACAACAGGATAGAGTCGATCCCGAAAAAGGCGTTCGATGAGACGACGTACGCCACTGAAATACAGCTCTCCTACAATCTTTTGACAATTTTTGATCAAATTCCTCTGCATAACATGAGTGGGCTGAAAATTTTGAACGTTTCTCACAACTCCATCGAAAAAATTCCCAAAGGAAGTTTCCCGAAGTTGTACGAACTTCACACTATAGACGTCTCTCACAACAATCTGAGCGACATTTTCAACAGCGTCTTCCAGACTTTGTTCTCTTTGAGAACGTTGAATTTGAGCTACAATTCTCTGGAGACGATCAAACCGAGCACTTTTGGGGCTCTCCCCACTTTGCTTGAGCTAGATTTGAGCAACAATAGGTTGAGAGATATCGCAAGAAGTGGTCTTACACGACTTGCTAGCACCAGGATGCTCACCCTTCGGAACAATCACTTAACGAAATTGTTTATCCTACCGATATCAGTCTCTGAATTAGATTTAGCGTATAACGACTTTGAAGAAATCCCTCCGAAATTGTGGCCGAGCATGAATTCCCTGTTGACTCTGGATTTGAGTTATAACCGATTAGGGGATAGTTTAGTGCAGGGTAGTTTTACTAATTTGCTCACTCTGCGGAAACTTAATCTCAATTATAACGGAATTTCGAAGCCTCCATGGGTTGCCATTAACGAGCTGAGTTCATTGCAGTATTTATATTTGGAGGTGAGTAGAGTGGTTTTCAGAGTCGCACAGAATTTAGCAGGGGCGGACTGAAACATTTTAGGTCGCTTGAACATTGCTTTATTTATACTGTCCTAAGTAAATATGGTTGTTGTAAATTTGTACAGGGTGGATTTCATCTCAAACGAATTGTCAAAATTACTGCCAAAAAAAAAAAAAAATTGATTGAAGGTTATTTCGACCGAATTTTCCTCGCCCCTGAAGCGCAGATCAATAAATTTTGCTTCTTTGAAGAATTACAAACATTTTTGAGATTAGTGTTTTTTGATGACCTCTCAGTGACGTAAAGCAGCTGTTTTGACTTGAATTTTTCAATGGTTCAATTTTTCATTTTTTTTTGTTTCATTAGTTTTTCGATTTGTAATTTTTCGAGTTTTCAAGATTGTGTATTTTTTTACAACATGTGAAATTTTCTATTTTTCGATTTTCAATTTTAGGTTTCGGTTTATTATTTTTTTATTTTTTCAATCATCCAATTTTGTATTTTTTTTGTTTTTTTAATTCTGTCAATTCTTCCGTTCTTTAGTTTTTCGATTTGACATTTTTCAATTTTTAGTTTTCCTTGTTTCTTTAATTTTTAGATTTTGCAATTTCTCGAATTTCCAATTTTGAATTTTTTCAATTTTTCATTTCTCCATTTTTTTTTATTTTCTTAAGTTTTACAAGTTTTCGATTTTTAAATGTTAAAAATATTTAAAATGAAAATTACAGAGTGGAGGATAGATATATCCTTTAAACGCTTCTGACAAATTGACTTAATTCAAAGTAACGGAATTGATTTTTCAGTGTTCCGCTTTTATAATTTTTTGTTTATTCATTCTAAATTTTTTTTTTAATTTATCGGTTTCCAAATTTTAATTTTTCATTTTTCTGGTTTTTCAATTTTACGAATGCAACTTTCGAATTTTCATTTTTAAAGTTTTCAGGTTTTCGATTTTCCAACTTTTATATACCTATTTCAGTTTTTAGATTTACAGTTTCAGGAGTTTCTAATTTTTAGTTTCTCAATTTTTTGATTTGCAAATTTTTGTTTCGGTATTTTATTTTCTTTATTTTTCAGCTATTTGATTTTTCAATGTTTTGATTTTATAATTTTTTGTTTTTTCGACTTTAATTTTATCAGTTTTTCGTTTTTCTTGTTTCTTCAATTTTTAGACTTTCAATCTAACGAAATTCAAATTTTTAATTCTTCGATTTTTCGATTTGCAATTTTTCGTTTTGTTTTCTCAATTTAAGTTTTTTAAATTATTTGTTTCTTTAATTTATCGATTTCCAGTTTTCCAATTTTTCATTTTCTTTTGCTTCTTCAATTCTACGAAGGCAACTTTTCGTATTTTCAGTCCCTTGACTTTTCAACTTTTGCATATTTCGACTTTTAGATTTGCAGTTTCACGAGTTTTCGATTTTTAATTTTTCAATTTTTCGATTTGTAATTTTTGCTTTCGTTTTTTAATTTTCCATATTTTTTTAATTTTTCGGTTTTCAAATGTTCTGTTTTTATAATTTCCCTTTATGCAATGTGAAATTTTTCAATTTTTGGTGTTTGCAATTTTTCGGTTTTCAATTTTTCAGATTTTGAATTTTTCGTTTTTTCAATTTCAGAATTTAGTTTCTCGATTTTTGAATTTTTAATTTTTCAGTTTATCGATTTACAAATTTTCCTCTCAGGAGTTTTCATTGTTTCGATTTTATAATTTTTTTCAATTTTAATTTTTTCAATTTTTTTTAGTTTTTCCAGTTTTTCAGTTTTTTAATTTGCGATTTTTCAATTTTTCGTTTATCTTGATTTTTCAATTTTTAGATTTTGCAGTTTTTCTATTTAAAATTTCTGGAGTTTCCATGTTTTAAATTTTCAATTTTTAGATTTGGAATTTTTCGTCTCAGTGTTTCCTTTCCTTTATTTCTACAATTTTTGGATTTTTCAATTGTTACGATTGTATAATTTTTCGTTTTCTCCTCCTCATTTTTTTTCAATTTTACCAATGCAATTTTTCGACTCTTCATTTTAAAAGTTTTTAGTTTTTTAATTTATCCAACTTTTGGATATTTCAGTTTTTAGATTTACGCATTCACGAGTTTTCAATTTTTAAGTTTTCAGCTTTTCGATTTTTCAGATTTTAGCTTTTGCAATTTTTCGATTTGAGTTTCTCGAGTTTTCAAGTTTTTAATTTTTCAATTTTTCGATTTGCAGTTTTTGGTTTCGGTTTTATATTTTCTTTATTTTTTCAACTTTTCGATTCGATTTCGGTTTTCAAATGTTCTGATTTTATAAGTTTTCTTTCTATAATGTGGAATTTTTCAATTTTTCGATTTTTCAACTTTAAGATTTTTGAATTTTTCGTTTTTTCAATTTTAGATTTTTCAGTTTCTCCATTTTTTGAATTTTTAATTTTTTAGTATTTCTATTTGCAAATTTTCCTCTCGGTTTTCTATTTTTTTTATTTTTTCAATTATTCGAGTTCCCAATGTTTCGATTTTATCAATTTTTCAATTTTCTTGTTTTTTCTATTTTTAGATTTTGCAATTTTTATGCTTAAAATTTTTGGAGTTTTCAATTTTTATATTTTGAATTTTTGGATTTTTTAATATTCCATTTCTTCAATTTTGCGATTTGGAATTTTTCGTGTCGGTTTTTCCTTTTCTTTATTTTTACATTTTTTTGATTTTTCAATATTACGATTTTGTTTTCTCCTTTTCAACTTTTTCAATTTTTCGTTTCTTAAAACTTTTAAAATTTTCAGTTTTTTAATTATCCAACTTGGATATGTCAGTTTATAGATTTGCTGTTTCACGAGTTTTCAATTTTTATTTTTCCAGTTTTGCAATTTTACGATTTGAGTTTCTCGAGTTTTTTTTCGGGTTATAATTTTTCAGTTTTTCGATTTGCTAATTCTCGTTTCGGTTTTTTACTTTCTTTTTATTTTTTCAATGTTTTGATTTTATAATCTTTTGTCGTTTCAACTTTAATTTTTAACTTTTGCAATTTTTCGATTTGAGTTTCTCGAGTTTTCAGTTTTTAATTTTTCAATTTTCAGTTTTGTTCGATTCGCAATTTTTCGTTTCGGTTTTTTATTTACTTTATTTTTTCAATTTTTCGGTTTTTCAATGTTCTGATTTTATAATTTTTCTTTTTTGATTGTGAAAATTTTCAAATTTTGGATTCTTTTTCAACATAATAATTTTTGAATTTTTTATTTTTTCTATTTTAGATTTTTCGGTTTCCCAATTTTTTAACTTTTAGATTTTTGAGTTTTTTGTTTTCTCAATTTTAGATTTTTTATTTTCTCGATTTTTGAATATTGAATTTTTCAGTTTTTCTGTTTGCAAATTTTCCTCTCGGTTTTCTATTTTCTTTATTTTTTCAATTATTCTAGTTTTCAATGTTTCGATTTTATCAATTTTTCGTTTTTCTCGTTTTTTCAACTTTTATATTTTGCAATTTTTCTGTTTGAAATTTCTGGAGTTTTCTATTTATATATTTTGAATTTTTAAATTTTTCAATATTTCCTTTCTTGGATTCTTCGATTTGGAATTTTCGTTTCTGTTTTTCCTTTTCTTAATTTTTACAATTTTTCGATTTTTCAATGTTACGATTATATAATTTTTTGTTTTCTCCTTCTCAATTTTTTCAATTTTTTGTTTCTTCAATTTTACGAATGCAACTTTTAAAGTTTTCAGTTTTTTAATTTTCCAACTTTTAGATATTTCAGTTTATAGATTTGCGGTTTCCCGAGTTTTCAATTTTTAATTTTCCAGTTTTTCGGTTTTTCATTATTTAGCTTTTGCAATTTTTTGGTTTAAGTTTTTAGTTTTTCAATTTTTCGATTTGCTAATTCTCGTTTCGGTTTTTACTTTCTTTATTTTTTCAATGTTTCGATGTTATAATCTTTTGTCTTTTCAACTTTAATTTTTAGCTTTTGCAATTTTTCGATTTTCAGTTTTTAATTTTTCCATTATCAATTTCTCAGTTTTTCGATTCTCAATTTTTCGTTTCGGTTTTTTATTTACTTTATTTTTTTCAATTTTTCGGTTTTTCAATATCCTGATTTTATAATAATTTTTCTTTTTTGAATGTGAAAATTTTCAAATTTTTAATTTTTCGATTTCTCGATTTGCAGTTTTTCGGTTTTCAGCTTTCGATTTTTCAACTTTCTGATTTTTGAATTTTTCATTTTTTCAATTTTAGATTTTTTGGTTTCTCAATTTTCCAACTTTTAGATTTTTGGGTTTTTGTTTTTTCAATTTTAGATTTTTCAGTTTCTCGTTTTTTCAATTTTTCGTTTCTTCAGATTTTGATTTGCAATTTTTCAAGTTTCCATTTCATATAATATACCTATCTAATAAATGTACTCATTAAAAAAATTTTTTGTTCAATTTTGCGATTTTAAGACATTTCCATTTTTCAGTCATTGGATTTTAAAACGTTTTTATTTCTTCGATTTTTAATTTATTTATTTTTCATTTTTCGAATTTTAACTTTTCAAATTTTCGATCATTCAGAGTTAGTTTTTCGACTTTGCAGTTTTGACGATTCTATAATTTGTGCATTTTACCATTTTTGGATGTTCCAATTTTTTGATTGACTAATTTTTTTGATTAAGTTACTTGATTTTTAGTTTTTCCATGTTTCTATTTTCTTATGATTTGCAGATTTTCGATTTTCCACTTTTTTGTTTTTTCAGCCTTCCTTTTTCTCATTTTTTCCGATTTTTTTGTTTATCGAAGTTTTACTTTTCGATTTTTCAACTTTTCAAATCAAAAAATGGAAAAATTGCAAAATTGTAAAATCGAAAAACCAAAAATGAAAAAACGAAAAAGTATAAAATGAGAAGTTTGAAAAAGCTAAAAATTGGAAATCAGACTTTGAAAATTGCATAAAAGAAAAATTTAAAAACCGAAAGATTAAAAATTGAGAAACTTAAAAATCGAAAAACTGCAAAATCGAAAGAAGAAAATATTGCAAAATTGAAATAATGAAAATGAAAGAAATTGAAAAATCGGATAATTGAGAAATCCAAAATTGCAAAATTGAAAAATTTAAAAAGTTAAAAATAAACGAATTAAAAAATTAAAGATTGAAATTTTGAAGAATTGAATAAACGAAAAATTATAAAATCGAAAGGAATAAAGACAATGAAAAAATGAAAAATTGTGCTATAAAATCGAGAAAATGAAAGTTAAAAATCGGAAAAACGAAAAATAAAATTAAAGAAAATTTTAATATCGAAAAATTGCTAAATTAATAAAGTACAAATCGAAAAATTGAAGTTGCAAAAATGAAAAATTCTGATCTCAAAAATTTGCAAAATCAAAGAAAAACAAAAAACAAAAAATTGGTCGAAAGTAAACAAATTAAGATTTTCGAAAAATTTGATTTTGCGAATTTTATTTTTATTTGTTTCAAGTGAGTTTTTCCATTATAAAATTTTGTCATGACATCATCGACATTTTTCAAGGACACGTATATGAATTTTCATAGATGCAGTGTAATACTAATAATAACAGTACTTTATTTCCAAATTCAGGAAAACGGAGTGAGTCGTTGTTGATTTGATCAATACACATTCAGTTGTTACAGAACTTTGATTATTTTTCCAAAAATCTGAACGTTCAGGTGACAGCAATCAATCCAGTAGTTTCGAAGATTATTTATTTAATACCTATCTTTTAGTACTATAGGGGTCATGAAAAGTCGACAAAATTTACATACAACGCTTTCTTAGCTTATGATCGGGAAGTAATAACAAGGACGATCCAGGCGCGGATCCAGGGGGGGGGCAATGGGTGCAATTGCCCCCCCCTGACACACGACCGAGGTACTTTATTTTGACCAATTTCAAAATTTTGAAATCATATTTCATTTTGTAAATACAGTACAACCTCTATATTCCGAACTAACGATTGTTTCAACATCCAGTAATCCGAACAGAGGCTATTTGAAGTCCATGCCTCTTTAATCCGAACAAAAACTCTGCAATCCGAACTGAACTTGAAAACATGCATCTACTTCCAAAAATGACGCAAGATCTTTCTGCATATGTTGTATGGAATATTTTGAAATTTTTAAAAATTGCGATATTTCAAAGCACTAAATTAATTATCTAATTCTGGAGAAACGGATGAAGTTATCGGAGACCCGAAATCTACAAGAGAAAGTATTTGGTTAAATTTCGAAAATCGTCGAAAATGGGTCGAAATTTGCATGAGAAAAATTTCATTTTTTAAAAATTTTCCTAAAAATTCTGAAAAAATTCAGGGATATACTCGTATATCCCGACGTGCTGATTCCAAAAATATACCATGTTTATGGTAACGGAGCAACATTTTCGGAAAATTCGCTGTGAAATTCGAATTTTTCGAAATTTAAAAAACTGATATTTCAACTGGACGATTCTGGAAAAATGGTTTAAGTTATCGAAGAAATGAAGCTAGAAGTGACTTCTGAGGTCCAAAATTTACAAGAAAATATATTTAGTTAAATTTCGAAAATCGTCGAGAATGGGTCGAAATTTGCATAATGGAGGTAATACGAATACATAATGGAAAATTTCATTTTTGAAAAATTTATCTAAAAATTCTGAAAAATTTCAGGGTATAGATCCCGGGATGTTTATTCCAAAAAGATAGCGTGTTTATTATCACGGAGTAATTTTTTTTTATGATGTATCTATTATCCATTGTTGCTTAAGAATTCTTTAATTTTTGTTTAATAAAATTTAGGTTTATTTCTTGAAGTTTGTTTTCAGTTGTGTATGAAGTTGTTATTCAATTCCCTTTCAGATTTTTGCGAAAATTGCTGATCCGAACAAATCGTTAATCCGAACACACCTTTTTCCCAATTAGGAATTAGGATTATCGAGGTTCTACTGTACACTATACGTGTAATGAAAAGAACCAAATGTCACCCATGTTATGTGAAAAAGAGTATACTAGCTAAAATTTTATAATTTTTTTTGTTTAGAACGAATTTCTGGTACATAGGTAAAATCACACAAAAATTGCCCCCCCCTGAACGAAATCCTGTATCCGCCCCTGGGACGATCATCATCAAGGCAGATTCATAAACCACAAGTACAGGAGTAGGCTATTTTCTAAAATTTAGGCTGCAATTATTATGAAAAATTTTAGTATTTTTGTAAGAATTATTTATTAAATGTGTTAGCTTGTGATAACATTATTCATCCAAAAATGTATAGCTCTCGGCATTTCACGCCTCTACACTGTTTTCATCCCTTTGCGCTCAATCCGCCCCTGTAGCGACTGTTCGTGTTGTAGGGGAACAACTTGACGAAGTTGAACAAGGCCGCTTTTGGTAAATTGCCTGTCGTTTTTGAGCTGAATTTGGCACATAACCAGATCTGGAACGTGAGCGCTAGGGCTTTTGATGGATTGCTACAATTGATTGTTTTGAATATGACCCACAACAATATAACCTACATTCCAAATGCAGGCTTACAAGGTAAATTAATCAGACTTTTCTCCACCTACTTACGTTCCTGCCACCTCCTAAAAAGCTCCCATTCAGGTATCTCGTAATTAAAATTCGCAAATAGTAAAATCCTTTGCAGCGCATTATGCTATCTCTCCTTTGTTTTTCCGGCAGGATGAATCATTTGTTGTTTCAGGATTGGTCGCCCTGCAGACCTTGGATCTTTCACACAATAAAATCGAGAAGTTGGATAACAAAACGCACGGTTTATTCGACGATTGCTTATCGCTGGAACGAGTAGGTGAAATTTAATTTTAGTCCGCTTTCATCTTGAGATTCTTTTTTAAGTTGGATCTAAGCCACAATAAAATCAGCTTTATAACGAGGAAAACCTTCCCGAGCAGTCCCTACATACCCTACAAATTAAGGGAAATCGATTTGTCGTATAATTCGATGCCGGTTGTCACGTTTGATCTTACTTTCGGTACTTCGAAGGTGAAGAAGCTCAACTTGTCGCACAATTCCATTGCGGATCTGAGAAGAGGTAAAAAGAGAAGCTGGGTCGAGTTCGCGGAGATGTTCGAGTTTAGCATTAGACTGTCGTGATGAAGTTTATCTTAGAGACTAAGAGATCTAATTTGCGAGACTAATTTACAGTATCTAAATTGGATTGTGTCGGTGAAGCAATTGTTGATCAAAATGATCTTATTTTCGCTTAAGGGCGCGATTACGGGAAACTGGTTTAAGCTCGTGGCTCGAAAAAACTAGGTTTGAGGGTAACAAATAAGGACAACAATTGTGTAGCAGTTAACAGAAACCCACAGGACATAATGTTGAAACAGAGCTGGTGTAACTTTTCGATTTGAATTACAATATTAAAAGAAAAATGAAAGAATACAGTTTCAGAGTTGACAGAAATCTGTCTTCTGGAAAGTTGAAATATATTAACAAATTATTAACATTTATTAATCGTATTCATGTCAGAAATTTATCCAGTGATGTTGCCAATTCGTTCAAAATACCTCCAATTTTTTGACGAACTTTGAAATTCTCGAACATAAAAAATTTCGCTTGTTAAAAATTTAAAAATATCGAATGTGCTAACGACATATAAAATAAAAGATATTTAAAGACATTAACGACATAAAAATCTTTGTAGGAATCGTCCCGGTTCAGTTATGTTAAAAAACTAGAAACAATTTCAATAGTTCGGGGCCTGAGAACTTGTTTGATCTACAGACCAGAACGCACTCAGCCCAAAATCGACCCTAAGCTATTTATCTATAAGCCGACTTTGTTAGAGCTGATCTGATACACATCCACTACGAAGAACTAACCCGTTTCGACCATCTGGTCGGACTTTACAACGAATAAGTGAACAATGTTCTTGAACATCTTAACGATTTAATACATAATGTTTCCGAAAGACAAAATTTACATTTTAATTGTATTATCACATGGTAAAACGCTTATCAAAATTTGTCACCAACGGTGAAATGACGTGGTTCCCAAATTTTACAATAATAGATGTTATTTAAATTTTATATTCTCCTTTTACGGTTTATGAATCCGTGTTGAGTTTTTACCTTTGACGTCAAGGTGTCATCTTACAAAGTTGACGAATAAATGTTATTTACATGTTAAAAAGTAGCATAGTCCTGAACTTGTGGTTTATAAATAAACCCTATTGAGATTTTTCGGCTTTTCGATTTTTCGACTTTGGATGTGTCAATTTTTCAAGATTTCAAATTTGGAGTTTTTAATTTTTTCCATTCTTCAAATTTTCGATTCCTAGATTTTTTATTTTTCGATTTCTGAATTTTCCGATATTTCAATGATTCCATTTCTAAATTTTTGTCTTCTTCAATTTTACGGTTTTTAATTATTTCAGGTCCTTTTTCGTCCTGTTCGTCCTTTTTCGTCCTTATTATCCTCTTTCGTCCTTTTCGTTGTTTTCATCCTTTTTCGTCCTTTTCGTCCTTTTTCGTCCTTATTATCTTATTTCGTACTTTTCGTCCTCGTTCGTCTTTTTCGCCCTCTTTTGTCCTTTTCATCCTCTTTCGTCCTTTTCGTCCTTTTCGTCCTTTTTCGTCATTTTTCGTCCTTGTTATCCTTTTTCTTCCTTTTCGTCCTTTTCGTCCTTTTCGTCCTTTTCGTCCTTTTTCGTCCTTTTTTGTCCTTTTTGTTCTTTTCGTCCTTATTATCCTTTTTCGTCCTTTTCGTCCTTTTTCGTCCTTTCCGTCCTTTTTCGTCCTTTTCGTCCTTTTTCGTCCGTTTCGTCCTTTTTCGACCTTTCCGTCCTTTTTCGTCCTTTTCGTCCTTTTTCATCCTTGTCGTCCTTCTTCGTCGTTTTTCGTCCTTTTGGTCTTTTTCGTCCTAATTATCCTTTTTTTGTACTTTTCTTCCTTTTCGTCCTTCTCGTCCTTTTCGTCCTTTTTCATCCTTTTCGTCCTTTTTCGTCCTTATTATCCTTTTACGTCCTTATTCGTCCTTTTCGTCCTTCCTCGTCCTTTTTCGTCCTTTTCGTCCTTTTCGTCCTTTTTCGTCCTTTTTTGTCCTTTTTGTTCTTTTCGTCCTTATTATCCTTTTTCGTCCTTTCCGTCTTTTTTGTTCCTTTTTCGTCCTTTTTCGTCCTTTCCGTCCTTTTTCGTCCTTTTCTTATTTTTCGTCCTTTTCGTCCTTTTTCGACCTTTCCGTCCTTTTTCGTCCTTTTCGTCCTTTTTCATCCTTGTCGTCCTTCTTCGTCGTTTTTCGTCCTTTTGGTCTTTTTCGTCCTAATTATCCTTTTTTTGTACTTTTCGTCCTTTTCGTCCTTCCTCGTCCTTTTTCGTCCTTCTCGTCCTTTTTCGTCGTTATTATCCTTTTTCGTTCTTCGTCCTTTTTTGTCCGTTTTCGTCCTTTTCGTCCTTTTTTGTCCTTTTTCGTCCTATTACGTCCTTTTTCGTCCTTTCCGTCCTTGTTCGTCCTTGTTATCCTTTTTCCTTTTCTTCCTTTTTCGTCCTTCTTCGTCCTTTTCGTCTTTTTTCGTCTTTTTCGTCCTTTTTTGTCCTTATTATCATTTCTCGTCCTTTTGGTCCTGTTTCGTCCATTTCCTCTTCTTTTCGTCCTTTTCGTCCTTTTCGTCCTTTATGGTTCTTGTTATCCTGTTTCTTCCTTTTCGTTCTATTTGTCCTTTTTCGTCCTTTTCTGTCCTTTGCGTCCTTTTTGTCCGTATTATCCTTTTTCGTCCTTATTTTTTTTTCGTCCATTTTTGTCCTTTTTTTGTCCTTTTCGTTCTTTTTCGTCCTTTTCAATTTTTCAAATTTAGACGTTTCTAAATTTTCAATTTTCCGATTTTTGAAGTATTTAATCTTTTTTTATTTTCCCATTTCTCGACTTTCCAAAGTTTTGATTTTTTTCAATTCTTCAATTTTTCGATTTTTCAGGTTTTTGATTTTACAATTTTTCGATTTTTTTAAGCTTCGGATTTTTCGACTTTGATTTTTTATTTTTTCGATTTCTCAGTTTTCCAAATTTCCCATTTTTTTATTTCTTTCAGTTTTGGGATTTTTCGATATTTCGATATTTGGACTTTTCGATTTCTGCACTCCTGGATTTTTTTTTTCGATTTTTTGCTTTTTGGATTTTCAATTTTTCATTAAATTTTAGGTTTTTCACTTTTTCGACTTCAGCCAATTTAGTTGTCTAATGAAGGGGGTCACATGAGAAAAACGTGGAACAGTTAACGTATACCGGGTACAAGAGTTTTGAATTTTCGTCCTTTTCTTCGTTCTTCATCCTTTTCGTCCTTTTTCGTTCTCATTATCCTTTTTCGTCCTTTTCATGCTTTTCGTCCTTTTTCGTCCTTTCCGTCCTTTTGCGTCCTTATTATCCTTTTACGGCCTTATTCGTCATTTTTCTACCTTTTCGTCCTTTTCGTCCTGTTTCGCCCTTTTTCGTCCTTTTTCGTCCTTTTCGTTCTTTTCGTCCTTTTTGTCCTTATTATCCTTCTTCTTCCTTTTCGTCCTTTTCGTTCTTATTATCCTTTTTCGTCCTTATTATCCTTTTTCGTCCTTTTCATCTTTTTCGTCCCTTTTGTTCTTTTTCGTCCTTTTCGTTCTTTTTCGTCCTTTTTCGTCCTTTTGGTTCTTTTTCGTCCTTTTTCGTCTTTTTCGTACTTGTCATCCTTTTTGGTCCCTATTAGCCTGTTTCTTTCTTTTCGTCCTATTTGTCCTTTTTCGTCCTTTTCGTCCTTTTTCGTCCTTTTCAATTTTTCAAATTTAGACGTTTCTAAATTTTCAGTTTTCCGACTTTGAAGTAAATTTATTTTATTTTCCCATTTCTCGACTTTCCAAAGTATTGATTTTTTTCAATTCTTCAATTTTTCGATTTTGTCAGGTTGTTGATTTTACAACTTTTCGATTTTTTAAGCTTCGGATTTTTTGACTTTCGTTTTTTATTTTTTCGATTTCTCAGTTTTCCAAATGTTTTAATTTCTCATTTTTTTTGGAAATTTCTTTCAGTTTTCGGATTTTTCAATATGTCGATATTTGGACTTTTCGATTTCTGCACTCCTGGATTTTTTATTTTTCGATTTTTTACTTTTTGGATTTCTCAATTTTTCGACAGTTTTTCTTTGTTTTATACTTCGATTTTTAAAATTCTAGGTTTTTCGATGTCTCGAGTTTTCAGTTATTCTATCTTTCAATTTTTCAATTTTCCGAATTTTTAAATTTCCGATTTTCCAATTTTTCTTTTTTAAAATTTTTCGATTTTTCAAAATTTTGATTACTTGATATATCGAATTGTTTCTATGTTGCGATTGTTCAATTTCTCGATTCACCAATTTTTCAATTTTTAACTTTTCTTCTCGGCTTTCGACCCCTCGATTTCTCGATCCCCTGATTTTACGAATTCTCGATGTTTTGGAACTTTTCGATGTTTCGATTTTTGATTTTGTCGGTTTTTCGATTTTTTACTTATGGGCTTTTCAATTTTTCAATTTTCCAATTTTTCAATGGTTCGATTTTTCAGTTATCCGATATATCAATTTTTCAATTTCTTAAATTGTGGAATTTCGATTTTTCAATGATTTAAATTTTAGATTTTTCGATTTCTCGAATTTTTGATTTTTCAGTTCTTCGGTTTTTCTATTTTTCAGTTTTTCAAATTTTGTCGTTAAATTGTCAGTTTTCCGATTTCTCAAATGATCTATTTTTGGTTTTCCCATTTCTCGACTTCTCAAAGTTTCGATTTTTCCTTTCTTCAATTCTTCGATTTCTCGACTTTACTTTTTTGGTTATTCGATTTCTCAATTTTCCAATTTTTTAATTTCTCAATTTTTGGATGTTTCTTTCAGTTTTGGGAGTTTTCAATATTTCATTTATTCTACTTTTCGATTTTTCCATTTTTTATTTTTTGGATTTTTAGTTTTTCGTTTTTTAAACTTCAGATTTTTACATTTTGCGACTGTTTTATATGTCGATTTCTCGATTTTTCAACTTTTCGATGTTTTAATTGTTAAAATTCTAGATTTTTCGATTTCTCAAGTGTTCAGGTCTTGTATGTTTTACTTTTTCAATTTTCGGAATTTTTAAATTTTCAATTTTGGCTTATTTCGGTTTCTCAATTTTTAGATTTTTCGACTTCTCCTATTCTCGACTCCGTGGTTTCTCAGCCTTTTGATTTTTCGATTTCTCGATGGCGCAGTTTTTGAATTTTTCGATGTTTCAATTTTTCGATTTGTCGCTTTTTCGATTTTTTACTTTTCGTCTTGTGGATTTTTCGATCTTTTTGAATTATCCCATTTTTTAATTTTCCAATTTTTTAATTTTTATTTCGATTTTTCAGTTCTTCAGTATTTTTTAATTTCTCAAATTTTGACGTTTCTGAATTTTCACTTTTCCCATTTCTCAATGAATCAATTTTTTGGTTTTCCCATTTCTCGACTTCCCAATGTTTCGATCTTTCATTTCTTCAATTTTCCGATTTTTTAGGTTTTTGATTTCTAAGTTTACGATTTTTCGAGTTTGCTTTATTGACTTTTCGATTCTCAATTTTTCAATTTTTTAATCTCCCAATTTTTGGATATTTCGTCCATTTTAATGATTTTTCAGTTTTTTGATTCTTCAATTTTTCTCCTATATTTCAATTTACCGATATTTGAGTTTAGGGATTTTTTTTGCATTTCAACTTTTCGATTTTTCGAGTTTTTGCTTTTTGGATTTTCAAATTTTCATTTTTTGAACCATAGATTTTCAATTTTTTGGAATTTTTCAGTGTGTTAAATTTTAGATTTTTCGATTTCTCAATGTTTCAGTTCTCAATATTTCTGTTTCAATTTTTCAAGTTTTCCATTTTTAGATTTCCCGATTTTTCAAGTTTTCGATTTCTCAGTTTTTTTCAACATTATCGGTTTTGGGAACGTTTCAATTTCTGGTTTTTTTAATTTTTCGATTTTTAAAATTTTTGATTCTTCGATAATTCACTTTTTCAATTTTTGATCACTGAAAGTTTTTTGTTGCTAAAAGTAAAAGTTAAAATTAACTATCAAGTTTGTGACCAAAAATATGTAAAAATTAATACAAAATAGAACACAGTGCTTCTAAAACATAAAAATAACTGCACTTTCCCAAAAAAATCTATTGCATGATTACGGTTCCACTAGTATTGCTAGCAGAAATTCTGAACCCTTAGAGTCGACATTAGCCTGAGCGCGCTCCGGTCTGTGGATCAAACAAGTTCTCAGGCGACGAGTTTGCAAAATTTCAAAACATTGTACGTGCTTCAGCAGTTACGCTGTCGTCTTTTTAGACTAAAGCGCGATGGAGTCATACCAAATGTGTTACCAAAAAAGATAAAATAATTTAAAAACATTAACAATATAAAAATCATATTGTCGGAATTATCAGCGTACAGTTATTATATTTAAAAACTAAAGTAAAATTTCAATAGTTTGCGAAATTTCAAAACACATTTTTTTTTTAATTCATAGGAGTAATTTTTCCAGCGATGTTGCCAACTCACTCAAAACACCTCCAATTTTTTGGTGACTTTTGAAATTCTCGATTTCTTAAAAATTGGCTTGTTAAAAATTAAAAATATCGAATGTGCTATAGAAAAAAGAATTTTTGTAATTTGATTGCTCATATTTTAGTTGATTTAATCTCAGGTTCACGTGCAATGTAATCCCTGGGAGAATTTTTCTCGCGGTGTTGCCAACTCGTTCAAAACAACTCCAATTTTTGCCCTTGTTAAATATTTTGAAAATTACGAATGTGCTGGCGACGTAGAAAATAAAAAAACTTAAAAACGACATAAAAACCATATTTTGAGAATTAGAAGAGTCCAATTATTTAAAAAAACTAATAAAATATCAATAGTTTGCGCAAGTTGATAACATATAAAAGAAAATTCTAATTAAAAAAAATTAAGAAACATCGTGACTTACCCAAGATTTAATGTACAAAATTCCACTATTTACGGAACGATAGAGCTTTCTTAAAAATACATAAGATTCTTTTAGAAACGTAGACAAATGGCACATTTAATGCAATTTTAACTATCATTTTGACGTGGTACTTGCTCCCATATACACTAAGGGGAATTTTTCGCTACGATTACTTTTTAAGCCAACCTGAAATTCTGAAATTAAGATTGTTATTTAGTAAAGAAGATAAAGCACAAGAACTCTGATTTTATTATGAAATGGTTTTTTTGGTACACAAAGCATAACGATGTTCTCTTAACAAGAAAATCCTTAAGCGGTTTAATTTTCATCCACATTAATGAATAATCATGTCTCATCACAACAATTCTTGCAAAAAGCTCTTCGTCGAGATATCACTTCAAACACACCTACGAACTCGACCCTAATAGCGTTATTTTAAATTAATTGCCGGAGTTTTAGGAGTTATAGGGAATTTAACTAGCTTGGTCTCGTTGGATTTGTCGTATAATAGGATCGAGGACCTTTCTACCGATGTAGAGTTTTTCAGGCTTCCACTCAGTGTAACTGAAGTTCGATTAGGGAGTAATGTTCTGCACGAATTGCCATGGAAGCACCTTAATAACGTCACAAAATTAAGTCTTCTGGACATCAGCAATAACCTGTTCGATGGGTTCAGTCCAGAGTTAATGAATTTAGTGGTCAAAGGCACGGATGTCTACTTTGAAGGTACGTAACTCATAATTAAATACGATAATGAAATAAACGCTAAAAATCCTGGCGGATGAATACTAGGCTCCGGAGCTTCGCTGAGTCAATATTTGCCATTTTAATGAGGTTCATAAATTATAATTTCACTTTAAATTCGAAAATTAAATTTCGGTACAGCACTCCGCTTTGACAGCTTGATAGTCTAATGTCAGTAAATTCATTAAATTTGTATCAGTTTAATGTGTTTTAGACGTCGCAGTAATTTTTTGATGTACGTCGCTTTATAAATCAACGTGAACAAATTCGATTAGCTTTAATAATTTTAGCTTTGAATATTAAATTTTCAAAATGAAATTTGCATATTCAACAATTAAGTAAGTATATTTCACTAGGTACCAAGTTTTAAAAACAAATTCAAATCTATATTTTTGCGCGACCTCAAGCAATGAACTTCACATTGCGGCTTCTCGCTATCAGCCCCGTAGCTACGGGGGGGCAAGAGGGGGCTGTGCCCCCCCTAGCAGTTGTGGTTGCCCCCCCTGGAAGACTTATACATTATAAATTTCAAATTAGTAATAAAATTTCAATATAATGCCGATTGCCGAAGCATATTAACTGGCCCCAACCGCCCCCCCCCCTTTATTTTCTTACAGGGTATATTATTTGGCAATATCACCCTACCGTTGATGTTGACCGTATAAAAAAATGAACATGTCACATTTTATTCCATAGCCTACTATGTACTTGAGAAAAGTCAAAAATATATGGATTTCCTAAAAATTGAGCTTTTATTGAAATGGACAAAAAATCGACAAAAAATTCTGAGATGTAGATCTCGATGAGCTTAATCAAAAAACATAAGGTCTTGATGGTCCCAGACCAAGATTTTTCAAAAATTCGGTTTCAAAGTCGACATTTCAAAATTTTTCAAAAATTACATTTCTTTTGGCGGCTCTGGAAAAATTGTACCAATTTTCGAAAAAATAAAACCAAAAAAAAAACATTTGGAGATCGAAATCAATAAAAAGATTCCTTCTGCTAGTTTTCGAAAATGCGTGGGAAAGTAAACATTTTTTTATAGATTTTCAAAAATTGAGCTTTTGTTGAAATTGGCCAAAAATCTACAAAAAATTCTGAGATGCAGATCTCGACGAGTTTAGTCAAAAAAAAAGGTCTTGCTGGTCCCAGACGAAGATTTTCCGAAATATTCGGTTTCCAAGTTGACTTTTTAAAATTTCTCAAAAATTATACTCCTATTTCTTTTGACGATTCTAGAAAAATTTTACAAATTTTCGATCAAATAAAACCAAAAACAACATCTGAAGATTGAAATAAATAAATGAATGACTTTTGGTAATTTTTGGAAATGCTCAAGAAAAGTCAAAATTTATTTAGTTTTCAAAAATTGAGCTTTTGTTAGAGTTGACAAAAAATTCTGAAATATAGATCTCGATGAGCTTAATCGAAAAACATGTTCATGCTCCCGGAACAAAATTTACGAAATATTGGGTTTCTACCTAAAATTTCTAAAAAATCTCAAAAGTTACTTTAAAAAAAGCTATTTCTTTATGCGATTGTGGAAAAATTCGACGAAATATCAAAAAAATATAACCAAAAATAACATCTGGAGATCAAAATCAATAAAGAGATCCCTCTTGCTAATTTTCGAAGATGCTTGGGAAAAGTCAAAAAATGTATATGGATTTTCAAAAATTGAGCTTTTGTTGAAATTAACAAAAAATCAACAAAAAATTCCGAGATGTAGATCTCGATGAGCTTAATCCAAAAACATAAGGTCTTGATGGTCCCAGACCAAGATTTTCAAAAAATTCGGTTTCAAAGTCGACATTTCAAAATTTCTCAAACATTACATTTCTTTTGGCGGCTCTGGAAAAATTGTACAAACTTCGAGAAAATAAAACCAAAAACAACACCTGGAGATCGAAATTGATAAAGAGATCCCTTTTGCTAATTTTCGAAAACGCTTGGGAAAAGTCAAAAACATTTTATGGATTTTCAAAAATTTAGCTTTTGTTGAAGTTGACTAAAAATCCACAAAAAAATCTGAAATGTTGATCTCGACGAGCTCAATCAAAAAACATAAGGTCTAGATGGTCCCAGATCAAGATTTTCGAAACATTCGGTTTCAAAGTTCAAAAATTACATTTCGTTTGGCGATTGCTGAAAAAATTTCCGACTTTTCAACCAAATAAAACCAAAAACAACATCTGGAGATCGAAATCAATAAAGGAATCCCTTTCGATAATTTTTGAAAATGCCTGGGAAAAGTCAAAAATTTTATATGGGTTTTCAAAAATTGAACTTTCGTAAAAGTTGACAAAAAATTCTGAAATATAGATTTCGACGAGCTTAAAAAACATGACAGGTTCAAGGTTCCGGATCAAAATTTTCGAAATACTCGGTTTCGAGCTCGAATTTTCAAAATTTCTCAAAAATTACCATATTTCTTTTGGCGATTGTGGAAAAATTGCACGCATTTTTGAAAAAAACAACCAAAAACAACATCTGGAGATCGAAATCAATAAAGGAATCCCTTTTGGTAATCTCGAACGTGATTTAAAAAAGTCAAAAATTTGATACAGGTTCTCAAAAATTGCCATATTTCTTCCGTCGATTCTGGAAAAATTGTAAGAATTTTCAAAAAAATTGAATCCAAAACGATTTTTGGAAATCGAGATGAACAAAGGACTCTCTTTTGATAATTTTTGAAAATGCTTGGGAAAAGTCAAAAATTTTATATGGGTTTTCAAAAATTGAACTTTCGTAAAAGTTGACAAAAAATTCTGAAATATAGATTTGGACGAGCTTAAAAAAACATGACAGGTTCATGGTTCCGGATCAAAATTTTCGAAATACTCGGTTTCGAGCTCGAATTTTCAAAATTTCTCAAAAATTACCATATTTCTTTTGGCGATTGTGGAAAAATTGTACGAATTTTCGAAAAAATAACCAAAAACAACATCTGGAGATCGAAATCAATAAAGGAATCCCTTTTGGTAATCTCGAACGTGCTTGAAAAAAAGTCAAAAATTTGACACAGGTTCTCAAAAATTGCCATATTTCTCCCGTCGATTCTGGAAAAAATGTAAGAATTTTCAAAAAAATTGAATCCAAAACGATTTCTGGAAATCGACATGAACAAAGGAATCTCTTTTGGTAATTTTCGAAAATGCTTGGAAAAAGTCAAAAATTTTATATGGGTTTTCAAAAATTGAACTTTCGTAAAGTTGACAAAAAATTCTGAAATACAGATTTGGACGAGCTTAAAAAAACATGACAGGTTCAAGGTTCCGGATCAAAATTTTCGAAATACTCGGTTTCGAGCTGGAATTTTCAAAATTTCTCAAAAATTACCATATTTCTTTTGGCGATTATGGAAAAATTGTACGAATTTTCGAAAAAACAACCAAAAACAACATCTGGAGATCGAAATCAATAAAGGAATCCCTTTTGGTAATTTCGAACGTGCTTGAAAAAAGTCAAAAATTTGATACAGGTTCTCAAAAATTGCCATATTTCTTCCGTCGATTCTGCAAAAAATGTAAGAATTTTCAAAAAAATTGAATCCAAAACGATTTTTGGAAGAAATCTAGATGAACAAAGGAATTCTTTTGGTAATTTTCGAAAATGCTTGGAAAAAGTCAAACATTTTATATGGGTTTCCAAAAATTGAGCTTTTGTTAAAGTTGACAAAAAATTCTGAAATACACATCTCGACGAGTTTAAAAAAAAATGACGAGTTCATGGTTCCGTAACAAAAGTTTCGAAATATTTGGTTTCGAAGTCGGATTTTTAAAATATGTACTAAACATGCAAAAAAATAAACTCAAACAAATTGGATGTTACCTATATGGCCACTACACAAATTTTTGGATGCAGTACAGCTGTTTGTGAATCTACATTCTCTGTTTTAACCAGCATTTTAACCAAGTACCGTACTAATTTTTTGGACTTCGACAGGTTTTTACGAAAATTTAGCGTAAAAAATCGCCGTTTCCGATTATTTTAATGTTCTTTCAAATATAAAAACTCAGAAAAAATAAAGTAGTTATCTGAATGTATTGTTAAAATATAAATATTTACATGAAGCCCCCTCTGTCGACAAACTTGCCCCCCCCCGAATAAGTTTTCTAGCTACGGGACTGCTCGCTATTTATTAATTAATCCCGGAAGATAATTTCTCAACCCCGAACCTGTCTCTCCCCATGTTCGGAATCTCATGAGACGTGGCTTAAATATTTACATTGTTACAAAAGGAACCACCATGGGGTTACAACATCACAAACAATAACACAACAACTATTTCATTATTCATACGTGAAACTCATTTTTGTTTCAGGAAATCCGCTGAACTGCGACTGTTTTCTGCGCCCTCTGAAACGCCATTTCGACACACAATTATTTCTGGCACCCTTCTACAAGTCTATAAAGTGCGCTGGGCCCCCTTACCTGTCAGGACAAACATTGTTTGAACTTCCCGATGACAGACTAAATTGCCCTACTAATGTTAATACTTCAAGGATAATGGAGACGCAGCCTGGAGAATATGATATAATGCCAGATTTGCGGTTCAGGGAGCTCACTCTGTAAGCATTATTTATGATGCGTGGGAACGGGGGCACGATTTTTCGGGTTTTGCAATTTTTACGACGAACTTTAATTCTGATCCTCAAAGACCACAATACATGTAGAATTCGATCACTTTCAGGTTAAATTCGTTTAAGTAGCTCAATGATGTAGTCCCTTTTGAATTTCTTGCCCCCAATTAGTCGAAGCAACCTTTCCTCATGCTCTCTACCTTTGCAGGAGCAAGAAGAATAAATTGAAGGTAAAATGGCGAGTGTTGCGGAACGACGATATCGCAGATCCTTACGTTGTCGTCAGGAATATAAAGGATCCGAGGAGCATCGCGTATGAAGTAACTTTGCCTTATTTTAAAAGAAGTTTGGAGATCGACGTCGGTGCTAACCTAACACGCCAGAAGGGAAACGATACTGAATACCAAATATGTTTGCTGGCAAGGGACAGTAAAACTTTTATACGTGGTTTCCACAAAGAACAATGCAAACCCTTCCCGAACTCCGACACCCGGGGGAGGGCGAATCATGTGATACTTACGACGGTTATTTTGTTTATAAGTTTTGTAAACTGGTCATAAAGTTGTTGACAGGGTGGAACTGTGGAACTTACTGTGATAAGTTGGACGATCGAGGACTGTTCTGTTATTGGCCACTCTGTACTACTATTATTGTTATTAATTATAAAGTCTGTACAAAAATGTTTGATTAATAAAAATTTCCACGATGTAGTTTCTTTTTTATTTGCGTTACAAATTCTTACTGGGGATGAACTTTGTAAAGAGTTTATGAAGAGTTAGTAAAGCCATTACGTTTTTGCTTCAAGTAGTAATTTATTATGATAATCAAATACAACGCATTGCATTTAATAATTTATTTCCAAGAGAAAAGTTTAAGACTTTGTCATTAATCTTGATGATAGATTGATACTCTGGACGGGTAAGAGGAATCGTAAAAGTTTTGTTATTTTCAATATTTTAAGATTAAACCGCTTATCTATCATAATTTTATGAGGAACATAAGTTTATTGGCGAACTTTATACTTTGTTGATAATTCGTAGAAAACTATCTTGACTTTGCTGGGTATCGTAAAACTTGAAGCAACCGTTAAAGAACAACTTTCCGTTTTGTTTTATAATGCTTTATTTGGTTCTGGTATAGTCATGACTTCATTGTTTAACTCTTCTATCTCTCTGTGAGGAAGAATCTTTTTTTGTTGTCTTGGGGGGCTCTAATTTTTTTACATTTTATTTATATCAATAATCACAATTACATAATTCCTAATTTTGTATTCTGTTGGAGACTCTAAAATCGCTTCTTCCTTTTCAAGTTTGTTGTTCAATTGGTATTATCTTTTTCTCTTTGCTATTTTGGTTAAATTTGTATTTTTTGTTTAGCTCTCTCTTTCGTTTTATTTTTCGTTTTCATCGTTTTTTTTTCTTTTGTGCTTTTTCTTTCTTTTGGAAATATCCTTGTGTCGAGCACTTAGGAGTAGTTTTCTGTTTTTTTTTCAAGTTTAAGAATCTCTCTAAAATAAAGATTTTTGTTCTTCCTCTTCCGTAAAACTTTCATTTTTTTGTTTCAGTTTTATTTAGGGCAGATATATTTGTTTGGTTTTCATTTTCTTCTTCGTCGTCCTTTGTTCTTCTTTTCCTTTTTCTTGATTTGTTCTTTTTTTTTCAAGGTTGTATTTGCTTTGTCATTCTCAAAAGAAATTCATTTTCCCAGTCTTCTTCGAGATTTTTCGGCTTTTCGATTTCTCGAATTTTCGACTTTGGATGTTTCAGTTTTTCAAGATTTCAATTTTGGACTTTTTAATTTTCTCCATTCTTCAAATTTTCGATTCCTCGATTTTTTATTTTTCGATTTCTGAATTTTCCGACAGTTCAATGATTCGATTTCTCAATTTATATCCTCTTCAATTTCGTCCTCATTCGTCCTTTTTCGTCGTTTTCGTCGTTTTTCGTCCTCTTTCGTCCTTTGCATCCTTTTTCGTCCTTTTCGTTCTGTGGTCATTTTTCTTCCTGTTCGTCCTTTTCGTCCTTTTCGTCCTTTTTCGTCCTTATTATCCTTTTTCGTCCTTTTTCGTCCTTTTTGTCCTCTTCGTCTTTTTTCGTCCTTTTCGTCCTTTTGTATCGTACTTATGTATGTATTATGTATTTATTTAAACCAATTATATATACATTATGTACATATTTTTATCAGTTCTTCAATGTTTCGATTTTTCAGGTTTTTGATTTTTCAATTTTTCGATTTTTTTAAGCTTAGGATTTTTCGACTTTGATTTTTTATTTTTTCGATTTCTCAGTTTTCCAAATGTTTTAGTATCTCTTTTTTTTTTGGATATTTCTTTCAGTTCTGGGATTTTTCAATATTTCGATACGTGGACTTTTCGATTTCTGCACTCCTGGATTCTTTATTTCTCGATTTTTTACTTTTTGAATTTTCAATTTTTCGAATAAATTTTAGATTTTTCAATTTTTCGACATTTTTTTTTGTTTTATACTTCGATTTTTAAAATCTCTCTCTTCAATTTTACGGTGTTTAATTATTTCAGGTCCTTTTCCTTCCTTTTCGTCCTTTTTCGTCCTTTTTTGTATTTTCGTCCTTTTCGTCTTTAGTATCCTTTTTCGTCCTTATTATCATTTTTCATTCTCTTCGTCCTTTTCGTCCTTTTTCGTCTTTATTATCCTTTTTCGTCCCCTTTCGTCCTTATTATCATTTTTCGTCCTTTTCGTCTTTTTTCGTCCTTTTCGTCCTTTTCGTCCTTTTCGTCCTTTTCGTCCTTTCCGTCCTTTCCGTCCTTATTCTTCTTTTTCAGCCTTTTTCGTCCTTCTTCGTCCTTTCCGTCCGTTTTCGTCCTATTCGTCCTTTTTCGTCCTTTTCGTCCTCTTCGTTTTTTTTTCGTCCTTTTCGTCTTTTTGTATTGTATTTATGTATGTATGTATTGTAAATGTAATTATTTGAACCAATTATATATACATTTTGTACACATTTTTATCGGTTCTTCAATTTTTCGATTTTTTATTTTTTCGATTTCTCAGTTTTCCAAATGTTTTAGTTTCTCATTTTTTTTGGATATTTCTTTCAGTTTTGGGATTTTGGTATATTTCGATATTTGGACTTTTCGATTTCTGTACTCCTAGATTTATTTCTCGATTTTTTACTTTTTTGATTTTCAATTTTTCGTTAAATTTTAGATTTTTCAATGTTTCGACTGTTTTTTTTTTTGTTTTATACTTCGATTTTTAAAATTCTAGGTTTTTCGATTTCTCAGTTATTCTATATTTCAATTTTTCAATTTTCCGAATTTTTAAATTTCCGATTTTCCGAATTTTCTTTTTTAAAATTTTTCGATTTTCAAAATTTTGATTTCTTGATATATCGAATTCAAATGTTTGGATGTTTCGATTGTTCAATTTCTCGATTCATCAATTTTTCAATTTTTAACTTTCCTTCTCGGATTTCGACTCCTCGATTTCTCTCGATCCTCTGATCTTTAGATTTCTGGATGTCTCAGTTTTTAAATTTTTCGATGTTTCGGTTTTTCAATTTTTTAATTTTTTAAATTGTGGAATATCGATTTTTCAGTTTTTAGATTTTTCGGTTTCCCGATTGTTTGATTTTTCAGTTTTTCGGTATTTCTATTTATATTTATATATTTGTTTGGTTTTCATTTTCTTCTTCGTCGTCCTTTGTTCTTCTTTTCCTTTTTCTTGATTTGTTCTTTTTTTTTCAAGGTTGTATTTGCTTTGTCATTCTCAAAAGAAATTCATTTTCCCAGTCTTCTTCGAGATTTTTCGGGTTTTCGATTTCTCGATTTTTCGACTTTGGATGTTTCAATTTTTCAAGATTTCAATTTTTGACTTTTTAATTTTCTCCATTCTTCAAATTTGCGATTTCTCGATTTTTTATTTTTCGATTTCTGAATTTTCCGATAGTTCAATGATTCGATTTCTCAATTTTTGTCCTCTTCAATTTCGTCCTAATTCGTCCTTTTTCGTTCTTTTCGTCCTTTTCAATCATGTTCGTCTTTTTTCGTCCTCTTTCGTCCTTTGCATCCTTCTTCGTCCCTTTCGTTCCATTGGTCCTTTTTCTTCCTGTTCGTCCTTTTCGTCCTTTTCGTCCTTTTTCGTCTTTATTATCCTTTTTCGTCCTATTCGTCCTTTTTCGTCCTTTTCGTCCTTTTGTATTGTATTTATATATGTATTGTAAACGTATTTATTTGAACTAATTATATATATATTTTGTACATATTTTTATCAGTTCTTCAATTTTTCGATTTTTCAGGTTTTTGATTTTTCAATTTTTCGATTTTTTTAAGCTTAGGATTTTTCGACTTCGGTTTTTTATTTTTTCGTTTCTCATTTTTTTGGATATTTCTTTCAGTTTTGGGATTTTTCAATATTTCGATATTTGGACTTTTCGATTTCTGCACTCCTAGATTTTTTATTTCTCGATTTTTTACTTTTTGGATTTTCAATTTTTCGTTAAATTTTAGATTTTTCAATGTTTCGACTGTTTTTTTTTTGGCTTTCGACTCCTCGATTTCTCTCGATCCTCTGTTCTTTTGATTTCTCGATGTCTCGGTTTTTGAATTTTTCGATGTTTCAGTTTTTGGATTTCCCGGTTTTTAGATTTTTTAGTTTTGGGGTTTTTCAATTTTTCGATTTTCCTTTTTTTCGATGTTTCTATTTTTCAATTTTTCAAATTTTGACGATAAATTTTCAGTTTTCCGATTTCTCAATTAATGTATTTTTGATTTTCCCATTTCTCGACTTCTCAAAGTTTCGATTTTTCGGTTCTTCAATTCTTCGATTTTTCGACATTGCTTTTTTGGTTATTCGATTTCTCAACTTTCCAATTTTTTAGTTTCTCAATTTTTGGATATTTCTTTCAGTTTTGGAAGTTTTCAATCTTTGACTTTTCAATTTACGATTTTTCCATTTTTTATTTTTTGGATTTTCAGTTTTTTATTTTTCGATTTCTGAATTTTCCGATAGTTCAATGATTCGATTTCTCAATTTTTGTGCTCTTCAATTTTACGGTTTTTAATTATTCCAGGTCCTTTTTTGTCCTTTTCGTCTTTGTTCGTCCTTTTCGTCCTCTTCGTCCTTTTTCGTCCTTAATCGTCTTTTTTCGTCCTTTTTCATCGTTTTCGTCCTTTTTCGTCTTTGTCGTCCTTTTTCGTCCTCTTTCGTCCTTTGCATCCTTTTTCGTCCTTATTATCCTTTTTCGTCCTTTTCGTCCTTTTTCGTCCTATTCGTCTTTTTTCGTCCTTTTCGTCCTCTTCGTCTTTTTTCGTCCTTTTCGTCCTTTTGTATTGTATTTATGTATGTATTGTAAATGTATTTATTTGAACCAATTATATATACATTTCGTACATATTTTTATCAGTTCTTCAATTTTTCGATTTTTCATGTTTTTGATTTTTCAATTTTTCGATTTTTTTAAGCTTGGGATTTTTCGACTTTGGTTTTTTATTTTTTCGATTTCTCAGTTTTCCAATTGTTTTAGTTTCTCATTTTTTTTTGATATTTCTTTCAGTTTTGTGATTTTTCAATATTTCGATATTTGGACTTTTCGATTTCTGCACTCTTAGATTTTTTATTTTTTGGATTTTCAATTTTTCGTTAAATTTTAGATTTTTCAATGTTTCGACTGTTTTTTTTTGTTTATTCGATTTTTAAAATTCTAAATATAAATTTTCAGTTTTCGGA